TTGGAAAAGCGGGATTTTACATTCTGTCAAACGGAACTATGTGCAAAGTGTATGAGCCCTGGGCATGTGTCTAAAGCGTTATGGACAGGGCTCATGAGTTAAAATGCTCATCACGCCGAGCCGCGACAACGGCTTCGTCACTGTCTATGGCCCGAATACTAACGAACACACCCCATCTCCCCCACCTGCATACATATCTCTGTTTGACAGAAATACGTCCAACTGATTTAAACTATTTCTCACTATGTTGCTCAGATAAGACGAGGCATAACCCCATTTATATCATGTAAAAAATCAATTTTCGACGTATTGTCATGCAAACGTGAATTCCAAAAATAATCCAGCTGGTTTTACCCAAATTTTGGAGACTATAAAAAATCAGATCTAAACATTTCTGGACGTCATATACTTTCTCGATCTCACCTCAGATGGAATGGAACTATATAATGATGGCGTCGTGTTCATTTAATTTTTTCACTAAGCACCTTGACGAACTTACGAATTAATACAAATAATAAAAAGGGGGAGGGAATATTACCGACGATTTTCGATTGTATGTTTTTCCTCGTCGAACCATTCAGCATGGAAGAAATTTACGTCCGGAATAATGTAGTCACCCCTCAATAAATCTCCTATTTTCTTCGATGAGAGCTTTTGCTCCTCCTGTTGTTTCACTGTTAACTCGGTCATAGGTAAAAAACCAACAGTCACAGTAACAATCTTCAGGAGAATATGTTGAAAACTAATCCTCATAAAAAAGTGCATATTTCTCTTAATAGATGAACATGTTCAACTTAGTTTTGTTGTAACAAAACTAGTTCTCTCCCGAAACGACAAAACTATTTATTAACTGTCTTTTGTAGCTTTGAAGAAGAAAAAAAACAACCACGCGCGCACCCACATAAATTACACACACTATTAATTTGGAGATGTATTAATTTTTCAAAAATTATCATGTTTCAAAAAGTAATACAAATCTACATCGAGTTTTTTTTATTTATTATTATTATTTATTTAAACAAAAATCTACTCTATTTTGTGTTTTTCAAACGGAACAAAGAAACAAAGAAGACAGTAGCGAAGAATAACGCAGATAAAGGCCACACGTATCCCTCCATTGGTAGAGCTTTTCGAATCTAATTTTTAAAATATTTTCATGGCCATAATAGCTGTTGAATCTTCTCTTACTAATCAACAGAGGTACAACTAGGCTTGTCACTTATTCTTTATTCATCACCGCACACAAGTGAAAGAAGCTTTGTGCATATATAAAATTTACTGAAGGTAACTTGAGTTAATCCCACCTTAACTTAAACATTACTCAAAAAAGTTAATCCCGCCACTATTTTTCAATTATTTTCCAAGAGCAAGTTTCTCAGCAACTTCTTGAATTACTGAGAGAAAGAAAGAGTAGCACAGAAATTGGAATTTCCGCTGACCGATTGAGCGATTTTTACCAGATTTATTGATTTGATGAGATGGGAGGAACCATAGGATGCTCTACCACGGGAAATGACGCAATAATTCTACCACGACTTCAAATTCTTAGATTTTGTACCTAAACATTCAGTCAAGTTTTTTGAGGCTGGTGTTTTTAAAAAAAATTCGACTAGACTGTTACATTAGAAGCTAGATTGTAAAGCCTCATTGTACAACGAGGTGTTATTAATTATTATCTCGGTTGGGTCTCGAAACGCAGTTTTTGTGTTAAAGAGTAGCTCGGCAACAATGTTATGACACACATATCGTAACTTAAAAATCATAACATCATGACATTATCAGATATGATCGGGCGCATCGAACTCCTTAACGCTGCACCGTGCGCCGCGCCGGTTGATATAAAACTCAAAAGAATCACTTCAGTCTCCAGTGATGTGATCAAACGTTATTTTTTTTTTTTATTTTTATTTTTTTTATTTATCTATTTTTTTAATGGTTACAATAAAGTGATTTTAATGGAAATAAAGTAAAGGCAATCGTTTATTACAGATTAAACGTTCATTTCCATGCAGAAAATACTAACATCCTTTCAAGCAATCATTATATGATTCTTGCCTCTGTTTAAGTTCCGTAGAAGGTTTGAAATTTTTCGTGAACATTTTATTTTACAGTAAGTGAGAAAAATTCACTGAAAATACCAAAAAGCAATTTGTTGGTTGGTTTTTTTCTACAAAAATAAAACAGTAAGAGCGGAGCAACGTCATAATTTTGTAGATACGCATTTTCTGACTTTAGTCATTGATATATGATTTGCGGGTAGGAAAGTTATAAAAAGAAATATGCATTGCCACATATCTACGTAACTAATGACAATCTCCCTTTCTAGCTCATGAAATTAAGTATCCCCTTCAATTAATTTGATGAAGTCATTCCGCAAATTCTATTGTCAGTTTAAGATGTATTGAGGCGTTTGAGGAATGGTACTGTGGTTCACGAACAATGAGATCTAAACTGTTGAACAATGACAGTCGGTAGTCGATCAGCTAATCAATTTCCGCATTTAAAGCGCCTTCATTTCCGCCTGATACTGTGCAACACTTTTAAGCCGGAATAGTTGCTTGAAGCGCCTTTAACAATCATGTGCTAATCTCGCCCTCGCGGCAGCAATCCCAAGGCATCGCTGAAATTATAAGAATGTGTGTGTTTAAAGACATGCCTCTTTAACGCGGAGGATTAAATTATAAATTCACACAGTTTCATTGATCAGCTTATTCCAAGAAATGTCCGAATTTAAGGGGGAAAAAACTCTGAGGACAAGAACTTCGAGGAGAAAAACTGTAAGAATTCAGCCGCAAAAGTTTTCGATGAATGGAAAATGATTTTTATGTAGGTTTTTCATTTTTTAGAAAATGTCGCGTTGCCAACAATATTGCACTCTTCGATCTCCTCGTGGTGCCGGGTGAACAAGTTTTAACCTTGCAATCGGGAACTTTTCAAAGTAAAAGATTCAATTTTATCCACTACAAAAAAGATTTAATTTTTTTTTAAATGCAGTGTTAAGTTTTTAAACGATCTATCTTAAGAAGTTTAAAAATGTTCTCAGAAAATTTCATTTAAAGAAGTAAAAACTGGCTCGTCTTTGTTTTCATCGAGAAAAATTTGCAGTCTTCGCATTTAAAATTACAATATTGCTTGCCAAAAAGTGACGCACTAAAAAAATCCCTTTATCGTTTGAAACGTTTAAACGCTCTCTTGAAGAATTTTCCAAAACAAGATGTTATGGCTTCCTTGAATTTTCGTTCTTCATTTTTTGAGAGATTGCTCTCAAAATCATTCATGCATTTTTTCTGCTAACTACGGTACCTGAATTTTTTCCCCCTCTCGTTAAAAAAGGAGTAAAACAAACATGTTTTTCAACATGAGGAACAGAGTAATTTTGGAGAGAAAATTAACAGTCGACAAGTCTTGAGATCGCCCACGTGTCATACGTCGCGTCGCACCACACGGCGCGGCGCTTCAAGCAACTATTTCGCCATGGAGGTGTTGCACAGTATCATACACAATTGAAGGCGCTTCAAAATATCAAGAATGACAGGCATAATTTAAGAGTACGGAGCTTTCCCGCGAAATAAATCGACATACAACACAAGGAGACACCGGTTGTCCAAAAACTCAACAAAAACATGTTCATCCCTCTTTATGGAGGGAGAAATTTATAATTCGTGCGAATAAAATCAATTTACTACTTAATCAGATACCATAGTTTGCGGAAAAAACACATGGAAGATTTTGAAAGAGATCTTTCAAAAAAATGAAGAATGAAAATTTAAGAAGCCATCACTTTATTTTGGGAAATTTTCCGAAAGAGAGTCGAGAAATTTTTTGCAGGAAAAGGATTAAACTATAACCCATTTGATTTTTTTCCTTTCAATTAAAAAATATTTTAGTAAAAAAATTAGTAATCGTGACTTACACACTTACAAAAAAGCCTCCAAAAAGAAGAGAAACGGAGAGAGTTCTCCTTTTCTGTGAGAAAATTACGTAAAAGATGCCCTTAAAAACCGGATGAATTTTCATAGTTAATTCGCAGCACTCCATTACAGGGAAAATTAATTTAATACTCAGGTTAACGGGGTAGAATTTTTGGAAGTGCGTCTGATTGTATGCCCGATAAGAAAGTAAATAACCTCAAAAATTTGTTTGCTGTGTTTGTCCTCACTAAACTTTATTACAAAAGTCGTATGATGTCAGGAACTGGTAGCAAAAGGGTCGTACCTCAAATTTTAGAAAAAAATAAGGTATTCACTTTTTCAATATTCTTTGAAGATGCTCTAAATACATAGAAGAAGAAAAAAGAAAAAAAAAATCCGTTGGAATATTTAACTCCAATCGCGTATCATGTTAAATTCCAAAAATTGCGAAAGTAGTCACAACTTTACTGCTCTTAACTACTGATCGAATGCAACTAATGCAAGCGTAAGAGTATCAAAGACAGTTTCGAATTCATCACTTACAAAACGCCTACAATATCGGGTACAGCAAATTGTTGTGCATCATTACGTGGCCATTTGTTGTAGTAAACAACAACATAACCTCAAAATTCTATTGCTGTGTCTCGTTCTTGTGTTTGCCTCTCAACTTGCATATTTGATTTTCGTTAATTTAAAGATACGGTGATTTTTTTCTCTCTCTAAATCTTTCATATCATAGTCATTGGTTCTCATAACACTGTCAAGTAACGGTTTTTCTTCTCCGTGCTCTAATTTAGAGCCGTCCAAACTGATTAGATAGCAAACCTAGTGACATCATCTGACCTTAAGGGGCTGTTATCAATTAATTTAAATAAATTACAAAGCCCAGATAGAAGATTCTTGTGATCAGTGACCGACTGCCAATGATGAGCAGAAATTCTGTCGAACAAGGTCAACCAGTTTGAATTGTTACAATGATAGCATTCTTCCTCAACACTTGGATTCTGATTGCCTCAGTTTGAAAAGTTGCGTTCTACTCAGCTCTGTTTGTCTGGTTGGCATAAAAACAAGTCAGTTATACATCTTACGTGTTTATGATCCTACAAACCAGGAAAACAACGTGATCATTCCATTCTAACCGTTTTGGTCATTGTTCGGACTTCTGTACTTAGTGATGTTATCCTTTTCAATAATGGATTTTCGGCCGAGAACTTTGTTCTTCATTGCTTCCTTCATGTGCCTTTCTCAACTGGGAGCTTGTGCTACGGTGGCAGATCGGGATATCCAGGATTTTTCAGAAAAGCTGTTGTCAAAAGATGTGAACAATGCAGCGAAGTATGTGACAATTAACTTCCAATCCAAGAAACGTCAGAACGTTGAAGACTCAGCCCCCCGTCCACTTTTATCAGTTAACAAAAAGGCCTATGATTTACCCTCGATATCTAAGCTTGTAAAAATCTATGACAACTATGTGCCAGATGTGGCAATACCAGAGACTGAAACAAAGGAAGAATTAGATGAAGAGCATGCTTTCATTGATGAGGTCAGCAAAACACCTGTTATGCAAGAAATGAAGGCATGGCTCCAGCAAAACTCATTGTTACCCAAAAATATGGATAATGCTGCATTCAACAAGTGGCTGTTTGACTTTTGGTTTACCATGTACTCTCGAGGCAGGAGAATAGTGGGGTCGTCGGCCTTTGAACATGTATTCCTCGGAGAAATAAAGAACAAGGAGGTGTCTGGTTTTCATAGTTGGATCTTCTTTGCTGATCAAGAGAATAAAACGACTGCTGATTATCTGGGGTGGAAAAAATACCAAAATTTGCAAGACAAAGGAACAGTCATGAAATTAAGCTACAAATGGTCAGGTATTCCCAAATTCACAGGATCAATGTTTGTTGGAACCAGCCCAGAGCTTGAGATGGCACTGTATACTACGTGCTTCCTGACCAGACCAAATACCCAGTGTAAATTACAGCTGAATGGAACGCCAGTGACGTTGCAGACATATTCTTTCAGTTATAGAGGAAAGAATTACATTGGATCAGCGTACCCAGATATATAGCAAAATGATGAAGAATCTGATCTATACACAAATTGTGCAGAGTTGAACTCATTTTTTCATTTGTTTGTCTATTTTTTTATTTTATTTGTTTATTTTTTCTACCATTGATTATTTTTGAAAAGTAATGTTCAATTCTATTCAGTCCTCTAACTGAGGAGCACTGAGTACATGTTGAGGTGAAGGCAGGCAAAAGGGCCCTTAAAGTCATACTGGAATGGTTCAGTTTTATGGAGAACCAATGTGGGGTCTGAAAACAATGCTCAGTTTTCAAAACAGAACGCTTAGCAGTATGCTCCAGAAAATTAGAAAAAAATTTGAAGCCACAACATTCTTTATTAATGACGTTATAAGCTTTAAAGTGAATTGTTTCTAAAGCTTCAAATATCACCGGCAAGCTTTTTCAGTGTCTTTATCAAATTCTCTGTTTTTCACCTTCAAAATTTTAATTGCTCTCAAAAAGTCAATACTCGGAATATTTGAACATTCTTTGCTTCAAATGATGCGGAATTAACCCCTGTAATCTATGATGTAGTCAATTTATTTTTCCTCCACTTTAAAGTCCCTTTTACTCTTGCCTAAATGCTTCGTACAATGAGAGAGAATAAAATATTTTAACCCTTTCTTTATTGTTGTATCACTCGGTTTCAGTTGGTTTCTGACATTTGTAATCTTGAGTGGATTTGATTCTCTGATTTTAAAAAGACACTGTACCAGATTAAATTGATGTTTCCTCGTATATTTAAGGATGTCCTTTGAACGTATAATTTGTGTGAAAGTTTAATTTCAACATTCATAAGAAGAAAAAACCATTAGTATCAACTGAAGACTCCATTTTTCAATGTATGGGAGGAAGCAATTTACCATCTTTAACAATTTCAAGAAAAATTAAAAATGTAATAATTAGCAATCAGATCATTTTTATTTTTTGAAAAGTTTATCTTCTTTTAGTCAATTCATCCATTATCTATGAGTTCATTGTTATGTTTGTAGAATATTTTACCATAGTAGGTAAGTAATACCTACGAGCAAAGATATATGTTTATTTAAATCTGGTCTTACAAATATGGGACCAAATTTTGCTGTTATCCGCACATTTCTCTGAGGCTCAGTAATTTAAGGATTTCGAACCTTCATTCTAAAAACTTGATGAATTTAACTTTTCATTGTTAAAAAGTCTCTGAAATAAGGAGATTTCAATATCTCATTGGACAATGTTACCAGCCGAGCTAAGGGAAAATGCTGTATGAACATCTGCAAGTTACCAAATGTCACGCTACATTACATTCATTTTTGAGAAAATCTATGTTTACTTTTCTCTGAAATTTTCCGATACTCTAGATTGAATTGCGAATTCTCTTAAAAAACGGAGGAAAATATGCTTATGTTTCCCTGAAAATTTGTATCTTATTGTAGAAAATTTAGTAACCCCTGAAGGCTCATACAGCGTTTTTCCGGAGCAATGTAGAGTGAATGCAGCTGCTTTCATGATGTACTCTTCTGTGTATGTTACTTATTCAGAGCAAACGAAGGAAAACTGGCTATAATTATCTTCATAGTTAAAATTATCATATTGTAAGTGAAATAACCTGGATGACGGCACAAGCACATCCATTTCAGGTATGCTCATCCTAAAAAAAAACTTTCCGAAACAAAGTTACAGACTCAGTTTTAAAAACGGCAAAAATGAGAGGAGTTAAAATCGTGATTTTCAGTTGTGATGCTGACGAAACTGGAACATGCCAAGAGCCTTCAACCTCATGACTGTTGTTTAATGATAAAAATTCTTCCAAGTCGAGCAAAATTAGTCTTATGTAACATTTTACCAACTATTTGGTTCTGAAATTATTAATTTGTATTCGCTTGACCTCCATTACTCTCCTGGGCTCATACAAACTTTCGATATTAAGTCAACATAACTACTTGTTACACTCAAATTTCTCAATACTCAAATCTTCTTTGATTCCTTGATGTTTTGTCATAACTCTGCCTCTAATTTTAAGGCTCGTGCATTTTCTACTCTTTACTGCTTGTCTCAACTATTGCAATAAATTGTGGAATTTTTAAAAATTTATTTTGGTGTAATATTATTTTTTGTCATTTTATCAGCTGTCAACTGCAATTTTTCAATTTATGATGGAATAATAGTAATGAGACTGAGGAAGTCCTTGAGATAAATTCATTTTGATTTTTAAGTGGACAGTGTGTGGAATTGTTTGTTAGTTCCATATAAATGCGCCAGGCTTGAATATATTTCTCTGCAAAACTGATTTTAAAATTTTTGCTTGTAGTTCATTTTGTGTATTCCATGGCCGTTCATAAATTACATCACACTGGAGGGAGAGGATAATTTGCTTAATGTCATCAAAGAATTGAGGCAAAGTGTTAATTTTTGGTAAATTCACTTTTAGTGAATACATGGATAAAAACTGTCGATTTTTTGTGAGGAGGCGTGATAATGGTGGTGGTGGGAGTCTACAATTTCATTTATACTTGAATACGTGTTCGTATTGACTTTTATGAACATTAAAAATACTGAAGAAGGTAATTACACTCTGTTAAAGATTTCAATGAATGCACATTAAGTACAAAATTTTAAATTTATTCATAGCAATAAAAATACTAAAACATTAAAGACTTTTTTACAATGAAGAAATTATTTTTTTCTCCTTCTGCTAAAAATATTTTTTTATGAAGAATAGGAAATGTACATGCAAAGAAAATAGATAAAAGAAAAAGAGAGGAGAAAGTTACTGTTGACAAGCTTTGTAGTTTCAAGTATTAGCATAGTAAAAAGGATTAGAGAATCATTGGTCAATACCACAGACAGAGGACGAAGGATTGACTACAGTAAAACATAACTATAACATGGAAATGGAATTCTAACTTTCATAAAATCTCAACCTTAAAAAGTGAATAATTTGTGTTTTTTCACATCTATTGACTAAATAAAAGTGATACTAACCAGGAAACCTGCCTTAGAAAAAATAATTTGAAAAAAAAAAGAGAAAATGAAAAAACAAAATAGATGTGCTCATGCCGCTTCAGCGACTATGTTCCATTTTCCCAGTGCTTTGGAAACTCGGATAGATCTAATGTGAGAACTTTACTGATGAGACATTGACCCGCCTGGAAAAGAAGAAGGTAATGGAAATTATTAATTGGCACTTAGATGAGGTTTATCTGATTCAAGTGGATGACTTAATTTGTCAGTTCATTCAATTATTGAAACAGTCAATAAACCTGATCCAAAATCCAATAAAAAAATTGAATTTTGTTACTTCCTTGTTAGGCTTTCTAGATAGCTTAAAGCTCTTGGTAAAAATACTTAAGGAAAAATGCTGCATTCTGTTTACACCTGGAATCTTCCAGTGTTATATGACTTGTCATAAAAACAGATTATTTTAAATCTATACTTCCAGAAGTTACACAGGTACTTGTAGAGGTTAAATTTTTTAAGACTCATTTCTTCTGTAATAGTTCTGTTTAAAGACTAAATACAGAATAAAGACAGGTACTATTCAATTAACTTAAGCACTATTTTTGGAAATTTGGAGAAAGAAAGCCCGTCCGGCAACGGCCAAAAATAACATTGCCACAACGTTGCTGCAACGTTGCCGCAACATTATTTTTGGCAGTTACATTGTGACAACATTTCCGCATCTACTTCAGGCAACCACTTGCCGGGCGGGAGTATTGGTCAAGCTGCTCTACAGCTGCATCTCAACTTTTTATTGAACTTACTTTCTTTCAGAAGGAATATACACTTTCTCAAGTTTCATAATGTAAAGACTGACCAAGGATTGGATAGTATTGTTTTACTCATTTTGCTTTGATTTGTGAAAAAAGCACTGACTCTGTTCAAAATACGGCCCTTTCCTATTGAGTAAATGAAAAGAAATTAAACTATGGTGAGTGGTAAAAAAAAAAACGTAATTGAATAATGCTGAAATTGCATACAGCTATCAATCTTTCATCACCCATAGAGTATATCAAACAGCAAAACCAAAATACTTACGTCAGGACAAATTCCAACTAAGGCATCAGCATGGCTGAAGAATTCCTCTTTCAGAGAGATCACAATTGTTTGCAGTGATGATGTTTTCAGATGAATGTATGAGGCCACCTTACTGATATTGGTATTGTCAAGAGCAGCATCTATCTCATCAAGGACGAAGAATGGTGCTGGCTGGAAACTGTGGACAAAAGATCACAATATCAGAATATAATATTAATGCATGATTTGAAAATGTTAACTCTATCTTAATTGGAAATATTTCCACTTTTTTGCTAGTAGAAAAGAGAGAAAAACATAAATGAACAAAGAATAAAAAAATAAAAAAGGATTGAAAAGACAAGGGAAAGGAGGTAGGAAAAATAGGTTACTGTTCTAAAAAGAGGCGCAATCTGAGGATAATACACAACATAGGCATGCAAAAAAGCGTGTGACTGCTTTCTAACTCTGTGTTGAAATACTCCCAGAGGGGTGAAAGTCCTCAAAATGCTCTAGAAACAATTGTTACAACTTCATGTTTGGTTTTTATATGATCTTCTCAATAAAAATTAGAAAAAGATGAACAAAAAATGGATACCTGTGGATGGCAAAAAGTAACGCGAGAGCAGCAACTGTTTTTTCTCCTCCAGATAAATTAGACATGGGTTGAAATCGTTTACCAGGGGCTACACAATTGTAGTTGATTCCATCCAAGTAAGGCTCTTCTGGGTTTTCTGGACCCAAAAAGGCTTGGGCAGACTGATTCATAGCTAGAGCCTGTAAAATTGAACAGAACTGGTTATTACTTGCTACAGAACGAAGACTGAGAATGCCTGTAGATGCAATGATACCAATGACAATGGATTTCGATCATCTTCATTTGGTTTTAAAGAGCTTCCAAGCCAGCAATATTGGAATTCTATAATATTTTTCTATCACTACGGAAAACTTAATAATCTGTGAATTTGAGTAATTGAATAAAGAGATTTGGTTTTAATTACTGAGATTTCAACCAACATCCGATCTATGAACTCTTATGGATGAAATTTAACAGTCTGAGAGTACAGGCTTATGATATTCACAATCGAAAAACATTACTGGTGCTTGGTTTGATTAAAGGCTTGTAATATTTTTTGCTATTATTGCATTAAACAATTAATTTTTAAGCAAAGAGGGGATGTTCTATAAAGGGGGTAGAGTGTACATACTGTTAATGTTTAACCAATTTGTAATTTCTCTCTTCCTCAAAATTATTTTAAAAAGCAAAAATTTGGTCAGACCCCTCACCAGACCTTGAGCAAGTGGAGTTTTTTTTTTCCATCTCAGCAGGCAAACTTTAGTCATTTTCTATTTATTAAAGGGGATAACACAAGGGTAAGTTGAGAGTTATGAACTGGTCCATTATATTGCTTGGTGCTTTTGTTAGGCTTTTTCATGGCCAAATTATCATCAACTGGCACCCCCTTTGGTGATTGACAACCATTCAATTATCCTACCAAAATGGTGAATTTGGGGTACTCTAAGGATAATCGGGGGATTTATGCGTAGTTTGATGTATTAATTATTTAATTTATCAATTAATTTCATTTAATTGCTTGATAAATTGTATAGGATGATTGGGAACCAATAACTTACCTTGTAAATGCTGTCAATCTCATTAGAGACATGTTCGAAGCAAGCCATGAATTTATCATGCCTTTCTTTCTTGACACGCTCAAAACTCTGCTTTGCTTTCTTTGCTCGTTTGCGAGCCGTCTCGAATTCTTCATTTGTTTCTACAAGTTTCTCTCTTGCGGCTTCCAATTTTTGCATAGCGCGCAGATTGGGTGCCTGAATCTTTTGCAACATTTGAGCCTGCTCGTTGATGATTTTTGATAATTTATTATCCATTTTCTTCACATCGTCCGCATCATCCAGTTCTTTTAAATCTAGTCGTAAGCCAGAATAATCTATGACGATTCTGTAAGCAAGAAAAAATTTTCAATGACTTTCCCTTCTTGAGTGGGAGGGGCAGAGAAAGAAGTCCGAACTACCAGATCAATTATTTTAACGACAGCATTATCTATTCAAAAATGGTAAATACTTACAGGAAAAACTCTTTCAATAATAATTATTCAGCTTTATAGATGTAAATTAGTTTTTAACTAATACTTTCCAAGTAAAAGAATAAAAAAAAAATAATAATCATTAAGGATATCGTTTTACATTAATGACATCTTTTTCCATCAAAGTAGGACTTAGAAGTCCTGATTTCAAGTGGTTCAATTTTTGACGAGTCATGGGACCAGACAAATCTTCTATTTAAAGTTCAAAAGACCATTAGTAGCTAAAGATAATGAAGCGTTTTGACCTATGACTCCTATGACAGTTCGAGATAGACACAATAAAATTTGCAGGAAAAAAAGAAAGAAAAAAAAAAAACGTCAAGTCCCAAAGAAGGAAGATAATAAAAAAAAAAGTCACAAAAATACATGGTAATTTGAAAGTAAATTCCTTTTCTTCCATTTCATTCACCTTGATTCTTTGTCGTATTGAAGTTGGCTGAGTCTATCACTAGTCTGAGAACTATCTTGACCTTCGGTGTCCTGAGCAATATCGTCCATGTGACCTCTTTCCATTGGAAGTGTAATATCTTCCATCTTACAGTGCATAAGAATATTATGCCTCTCATTCTTTTTCACTTCAAGTTTTGACTCGATCTGTGTAACGCCCTTTGTGGCTGCTTGTACATCCTTGGCGATGGCTCCAACTTCTCGACGGGCCTACAAAACAAAATACAGTGATGAATAAAAGAAAAGAAAGAAAGAATTACCAGATCAACAGAGGAAAGAACATTTAAAGAACAGATTGAGTTGAAACGTTGTTCATCCGTTCATCATCAGTAAAAAAAAAAAACTTCATGTTTGAAGCAGACTACATATTTCAGGATCTGAAGGAACTTACATTAAAAGAGGAAAAAAGGAATGACTTCCTTTTGCATTTTTAAATACAGATAAACTTTTAAAAATCGATTTAGTTCTTCTGATTAGCAAACTTCCATAATAGAGCACTTGAGTTCTTCAAACTGTACCTCATACCACCATTCAAATTTTTCAAATTTTTTGTTTTGTTACCCTATCACAATTGAATCAGGACGTGCGAAAACCTTGAATGTCGGTTTTTCCAGTCTTCAATTTTTTTGAGTTCATAATGCTTTTAAAGAGTTCATACAACCATAAAAGTGATGAAAGGACTCGTTTTGGGATATAGATAACTCAAAGACGAGTATCAACGCCACTTTACTGATTTCATCTAACTCCGAAAAGTACTATTGACTTAAAATAACTGACATTAAATGCACATTTAAAAAAGTGGACATTAGCAGTTTTCTCAATTAATATAAGTAACGGCACACTGAGATAGGTATAAAAAAAGTACCATCAGCCCATTTCAGCGGCCAATAATAATATAACTATGTCATTCCAAGATTTCAACTTTTGAGTTTTTGTTGAGAAAATATATCATCCAAATTGTGGTCAGAATAAACAGATGCTTCATTCATGCAAAATTGTGATAAAGCATAGTTTGAATTCAGGACATGATAAAAGGAAAAATATCTGAGGTGTACCTTGCCGATTTCCTCTTCCATTGCATCAACGGTCTGTTTCTTTGTCAGCTTGGTAGCTTTCAAGGCTTCGACTTCTTTCATGTCTTTTTCAATATCCGCCATTTGCTTCTGTTCTGCCTGTTTTGCTTTTTCATAATCATTTTCATCATCATGAACAGCTCTTTCCCATCGCAAGACATTTGCTAAAAAGAATAAAGCGGGGAGTAAATTGCAAAGTTCTTACAGGCCTGATGGGAAAGGGGCACTTTTTAGGGAAAGAAAACAAGTGTTATGAGAAACAGTGTCTGCTAACTATATACATGCCAGAATTCTACGTGGAAGAACAGCTAATAATGAAAATTGTTAACCTGTTACAGTTTTCTTTTAGAGATGAAGAATTGAAAATTGAAGACTTCGTACGGTTGAATTTAACATAGAACCGGTCAAATATTGTCATTTGAAAAAATCAAAACTTTTCAAGCCAATGTGTGAATTGTAAGAGCAATATTGTGATAATCTGTTTTCACCCTGCAAAACCACTGGATCTGCAGTTGCATGGTCCAGGATCAAAACACTGAACTTAAAGATGAAGAGTGGTCATTGTTTTTCGAAGTAGGAAAAAGAATGGCTTATTACTAGGAGGAGTTTCCATAAAAACAATTGGATATGTCAGCAGGCTTAGTGCAAAAATAACAGCGAAGAACTTACTTTTCAAGTCCTTGGTATTTTCAAAGTCAAGTTGATTCTTGATTCTGCTGATATGATTTTCAAATTCAAGACGTTTCTTTGCACGTTCCTGCTGGGATCGTAGCTCCCTCTCTTCGTACTGCCGAATATTCGCGATCCCAACTTGCTGACAGAAATCAGCAAAAATGTCATCTTCAACGCGATTCATTTTTTCCTTCATGTCTTGAATTTTCTGATCCCTCTCACGCATTGAATGCTCTATCTGGGTTATACTTGGTCCAAAACTATCCAGCTTATCTTTAAGATCCGTAAGTTGGTTATCTAAATTCTTAATTTGACTAAGCTGAAAGAGAGGAAAGACAAGACATAATTTTGAGTAAAGATTGATGGCAGATGGAGAAACTATTTGACAAACTTACAACATTCGGTAAACATAATTTTCACCTGAATATGGTAAAAGCGTGAACTTAGAAGACTTTGAAGGGATGGCGCAGAGCAATTCTGGAGGCATAAAAGGTGAAGAGTTGGTGCCGTTAAAATTTAGAAGGTCTTTTGAGACTCAAAATATCAGAGCACAATTGGGAAAATTAGAAAACCCAATGAATTATGATGAATATACTCCTCAACTTTGCTAACTGGAAACACTTTCATATTTGTAAACATTTTATCACACTTATTGACACAGGAACGACTTTTCACATGAACTATTCAGCCGTCAAATCAACAATGATGTTTTATTTAGAAATTTTAGGATTTTCTTGGCTGCCTGGGGAGGAGAAAATCACTAGTATTGTTAAGTAAAATGAACACCAAAAAAAGGTAAGATAACAAATGCATTACCGTTTTTTCTTTGTCAGTTATTGAATACTTCAATCGGACTTCGAGACCTTTAATTTGGGATTCAACCGTGTTCAGTTCAGACTCTTTCCTTGATTTTTTCATTGCTTCACGCAACTCATCGGATATTTTTTCTTTTGACTGCTTTAAATTGGAAAGCTGTTTTTCGTCCCATCTCTTGGCCTTACGGGCAAGATCTAAACTACCTCCAGACATGATACCAGATTTCTGATAAAAAGTACCATCCAGAGCTACACACTGTAAAAATAAAAGGAGAAACATACACGGCTAAGTAATTAATAATATTAGAGAACTTTTCTTTCTTGGGTGCATGGATTAAAATGAAAAACAAAAGGTTTTGAAGATTTTAAGAATTCAAGTGCATGAAGATATCATGATTTTGATACTATTACAGAAATCATACGGAAGCTAAGAGGGATTGCGGTGAATTTTGAAGAAACAAAATTAGAAAGAGAAGTGGAACATTTCATTACTCAATTTTCAAGACTTCTGAAATTCTGTTGATTGCAACAATCGAACTTCATATCATTCGCTCTTTGGTTTGCAAAAGCGACACTCAAGGAACTTTTCAATGAATATTTGATGATTAAAGGAGGCAATGGCAGCAAGGGATTAAAATCTGCTGCAATGAAGGGAAAAAAAACAGAAAGTTAAGCAGTTGTTAACAAAAGAAAAGAGGAGCCAATATGCTGTGTGCACGATTATTTTACTAACATAATTTTTTAGCTAGTTGAGCTAAAATAATAATTTAAAATAATGATTTTGGCTGAAAAATTATGTAAGTAAAATAATCATGAACACAGCATATTGGCTCCTCTTTTCTTTTTTAATCTTTAGTGACGCTGTTCGCCCTAGCATGTTCCAAAAAGCAGTTACTGATCAGAGCTTGGGTCACTCAATTTGCAACAAGAAATTACTGATCAATTATTTTAGTAGCTTACAAATATTTCTGAATTTTTGTAGGTTGACATGTACTCATGGCACTATTTTGTCTTTCAGTCCTTGGAATAGCTTCAACAATGCTAATTTTAATTATATCCTTGTGGGTTGGAAAATTTAAATTAGAATTAATTGAGCTTAAAAGAGAAAGAAAATTTAACTTACGTCATGCCGGTGTGTTTTGTCTAATTCATAAGCGACTCTCATTGCATCTTCAGGGGTTTCACAAACTAGAGCATTATTTGTCGCAAACAAAACAACCCGCTGAATGTCCGGGGGCTCAAAGCTAAGAACATCGAAGAGAAGTCTGACATGTTTAGGATCCTTGATGTTCCTCAGCCTTTCTTTGAGAGGTTTTGTTTGAAGATAATCGATGGGCAGAAATGTTTCGGGCTCCAACATGTGCTCTTTTAGGTATTGAATGCATTTACGAGCAGTAACTTCAGAATCGACAACAATAGCCTCCATGTATTTGCCCAAGACTTTCGTCACAGCAACATTATACCTTTTGTGGATGGGCTGAGTCATATTGATCAATCTATCGTACACTCCATCATAGCTTCTTTTCAAATTTTCTACAAGCTCTTGTCGTTTCTTTCGTCGAGAATCCTCCTGTTTGTCCACTCTTGCATCACCTAGTTGCTCTATCACATTTTCTAATTCTTTTTGTAATGTTTGCACTTTGTTTTTGGATGAGCCAACGTCAGATTTTAGATCTTGCTCCAATCTCTTTTGCTCATTTAAAGCCTGCTCACTTGATCTGATGTGTTCTGTAAGTTTGTCAATTCTCTTCTGAGCCTCATCTTTCTCATGACCTTTTTGTTTTATTTTGTTGGCCAAATCTGATTTTGCTCTCAATTCATTGTCCAGTTTGTCTTGTTCTGCTTTTTGCTCCCGATTGATGGAATCTAGTTCTTGCAAAATACGAGCAGACTGCTTTTGAGCTTCTACTTTTAAGCGATTGTATTCCGCAACCTGTGAGATAAAGAAATACAACTTTTAAATAAATGCCTTAAAATAGTATCACATAAACCAATAACAGAGTTGGTCATTTGAAAGGGCATGTTTTTGAAAAATAAATATATTTTCGTGATATAGTCTCCATGACAAAAGAATTTCATTGATTCACATATGTTAACATACTACTTTTCAAGACATGGAATGCAAAACAAAGATTCATGAAATTAAATGCCAAAATAAAATTCTTAGATTCTGTTTAAGAGTTACAATGGATCACTAGACAAGGTACGAATTTAAGCATTCCGATACATGTTTCTTAACGAAAATTTCACGTAGAACACGATTCGCGCAACGAAAATTACTGAAACCAACTCCTAACGAAGATATTAACCTTTTCATTTCACATTGGTTACGAGGAATTTGAACTGCCCGCTCACAAGAAACTCAAAGCTCTACGTGAGTCAAATCGCGCACTACAATGATTTCAGCAAGCTTCTCAATCGAGCAATGTTCATTTCCCACCATGTGTGGTTCAAACTATAAGAAATCTGCTATAGCTGAGCCAAAGCGTCAAGACTGAGGTTCCCAGATTTTTATATCGCTGAGACATGTATGATAACGTCTAGCGCGCGATGTGAATCACGTAGAGCATTGAGTTTTCATGATCGGGTGGTTTCAATTCACGCATTAAGAATCATTAAATATCTTCGTAAGGAGTTGATTTCGGTAATTTTCGTTGTGCGTATCGTGTTCTACGTGAAATTTTGGTTAGGAATCATGTATCAGAATGCTGAAACTCGTACCTTGTCTAGTGGTCCATTTGGCAATTTGTTTCCAAATTGCCAAAATTGCAAAGCTGTTCTTTGAGTCTCTTAAAATGAGGTTTGTCGACAGATATCTTTATGACAGATGAAAAAAATATTACCTGAGCATCTTCCAAGTGGACATCTCTCCCTTGAGACATGGATTCACCCTCTATTTGTCGTTCGTATTCTTGTTTCTGAGCTTCAACTTCATGTAATTCACGCTCCAGTTCAGCAATATCTTTCTCATGAGCTTGATGGGCTAATCTGGACTCTTCTAAGGATTTGTTAGCACTGTTCAGTTTCTTCTGAATATGAGACACACGCTCCTTTGATTTAATGAATGCTGGACGTTTCTTGTTTATTTGAACTTCCTGTAGGATGATAAGTTATTGATGAGAAACGATTTGCATAAATGTAGAGGAGTTAGGTGATTATTAGAACACAATATATTACTGAGAAAAATTAAGAAAATGGATCATTACATATACAGCCTTCTTAAATTGACAATGTCTTGAATGAAATCTGCACGTTCGCCAACTATCCAAATCTGATTGAATATACTGCTACTACTGCAGGTACTCTTTTAAGAACAGTTAATTTTGCATGGTTAGTCGCTAAAAGCACTGAGAAATTGAAAAAGTTAACTACAAAGAAACTTCTTTCGAAATTTTAAAAAAATAATACATTTTAAGAGAAAACCTTGACATATTTCAAATATATATTACAAAGATAAATGAATGATCCTTCATTTTCAATGACAGGTTTGAAAGATTTTCTTTGAAAACACGGCTTGTTCCAAGGTTGATAATAAAAAATTTTTTTTTTAGTTACATACCATTTCACGAATTTCCTGTTCGGTTTTAGCTAGTTCTCGATTTGCTTTGCCTTGTTCTTTTTTCTTTTCTTTAAGGATTTCTTCAGCTTTTTCTTTCCGTTTTTCAACTTTTTCCACTTCACGTTTCTTCTTCTCTAATTCAGCCTCATAGTGGCGAATGTCATTCTCATTGTGATACAAACGGAACAGTTGATACTCAATTTCTTTGTCCACCTGAAAATCAATTGAGTAAGTATTAACATAGTGACACGGACAATTTACAGCCCCCCAAAAAGCACTAACTTAGCGTAAAAACAAGATGAAGACAAGTGTGTTTTTTTCATCTCCTGTTCTAAGAGACATGGATTGCTTTGTTGTTAAATAATTTGTTCTTTTAGCGTAAAGTTTCTCTGAAAGGACTGCATCAGCTTCAACAGAGAAAGAAATTAATGAACATTAACAAAAAATATTTAGTTTGTTACGGGCTTGGATGTTTTTCTTTAAAGCTGAGCTCTGAATTAGCCTCTACAAAAAGGAAAAATTGAGGGAATGGCTGTAAGCTCAATTCACCTGTTACTTTCGGATGATGAAATAAAATGAAGTAAATCAACTGGTTTATTATTCCACTGTACAATTGGCCTACATTTAGCGATACAGAACTTTTGTTTCTGGCTCATTTTAAAGACAATGTATGAGCCATAAGTTTCTCCATGCAGACGACGGCATTTGCGGATGTGCCGGATATATGAATGGCATTAAAACCTTTCAGTATTTGAGTGCATTGAAAGAAAACACATTCTACTAAATAATTAGATAGAAATTATTTTTCTCACCAAAGCATCCTTTAACTTCTGGTATTTTTCCGCTTCGTCTTTCTCGAGCTTGGCTTCCTTCCGCTCTGCAGCAACACCTCTCTTCTTCAGATATGATAAATTTGTTTCTTCTTCTGCCTTCATCATTTCTTTCTTCAATTTGTCATAGTCTTCTTTCAGAGCACCAGAACTAGAAAAAGACACAAAAATATTGCGTGAAAAATCATTGCAAAAAATTACAGAGAGGGGATAAAAAGATATTCTGAAATTTGATTGACCGTGGCTTTTTTAAGAAAAAGGTATATTAATACAGGAAAAGAAAGGCAGTGACAGTTAGTTATAATCTATATAAAAATGACTAAACAAAAATCAACGCACAGTACATTCTATTCTCAGATACATTTCTTGATTTTAATAACTAAAATAAAAAAATGGAGAAACCAATTTTTTTTCTGCTCCAGTACAAAATATCATTTTGAGAATGGAGACTCAAATAAGAATGGAATATTACATACCCACTGATTTCTTCAAACAGAGCGGTTCTTTCTTTTGGATTTTTCATGGCAATAGATTCAACTGCTCCTTGAAAAACCAAAAAGTTCTTGGCTTTGACATTGATTCCGAGTTTTTCAAGTTCGGCCAAATATTCTTGAGTGGTCACAGGCTGTAAAAATAATAAAAATTAGGGTCAAGATTTTTTAACTTTCTCAGTTAAGGTGGAGAAATGTGCCAGGAATGCTCTGGAATCACCATGAAAAGGAATTCCACACATACATTACTGGAGCTCATTTTAGATAACTTGCTTTTTTTCTCTGCGTATGGGGAGTACAGAATTCGGTACTCTGCACATACAGCAAAAAAGGACAAGCTATCTGAAACAGACTTAGTAGTCAATGCGTTTCATCATTAAATAAATCTAAGTACTTCTTTTGAAATCAAAGTTTGAGATTGGTTAACATCCTGTCGAACGCAACATGCAGTCGTTACTAGGTTGCTCAAGACCCCTGGATAGTGCTTTAAGGTGTATGTAAATGAGAGGAACTTGAGAAATAACATGCTTAGTAACAATGTCAGGGGCCATCATATATGAACCTCTTCATCAGAGGGAAGTTCCTATAGATGGAGGATTTCTGCCAGTCTTCGGTCTTGCCTATTATCTGAGGAATTTGAAACAACCTACAGCTATTAGTAGCATCGAGTGGTGAGATTGCATTAAAAAATGCTATCGATGTGGGAGATGCCAGAGGAATAAAAAGACAAATGCGCACATATTCTCTGATCGCTGTATGAGAGAAAAAAAATAATAAAATAAAGTAAAACGAAAGAAAGTAACAGTAAGTCTGAGGCTTACCTCTCTGTCAATCTTGCAATCTGATGATGACCCTTGAACAGAGCGAGTGAATCTTTTCTCTCTTCCATCGTCTAACTTAAAAACAGCTGTGACACTGGCACTGAAAGCAAAAAATAACAGAAAAAATTAGCAATTAAAATTTGATGAAAACCGAGCAAATTTTCTCTCAGCAAGGAAGTCATTAGTGATGAGTACCTGTGTTCCATGCATTATTAACTAAGCACTAGGTAACATAGAAACGAGACTCGACATCATATTCATTGACACTAGAATCTTTGCACAATGGTTTCTGTAATACGGCAAGAATGATGTTTCTGTACTTTAAGATGCCTCTACCTCAATCTTGAGTTTGCCCATGCAAGGGTCTCTTTTCGAAAGGATGGTAGTTATACACAACTAAAGGTGCATTCGTGATAGACAACGGGCCTCCACAGAAATTACCCGGTGAGGGTGTTGCAAGTTTGACGATCGTTCTTGAACCTCCGTTGTACAACACTTTTTACCCGGTGAAGTGTTGTAGCGGTTAAACGCTCACCGCAACAGCTCAGCATCTTTTGCGGCTGGTGAATGGAGCGTTGAGGAGGTAAACAAAGTCACGTGACATACTTAGACCTCAGTTAGACAATGGGTGACTCTGCAGGTAATTCACCGAAATAATCTCCGATGTCTATCATGAACACATCTTAAATAATAGGACCAGATAAAATTTCTAACCTTCGTGCAATTGGCTGCTCAACAGAAGCACCATGGATGAGATCACTTAATCGTTTCACACGCAATGCTGAGGTTTTCTCTCCCATAACAAAACTGACGGCATCCATAAAATTTGATTTACCTAAAACAGAACACAAAGCAGAACTTAAATAAAGCACTTAATGACAGGGATTAATTTTTTTTTAAAAAATCTGTTCAACAATATTCTCATATTTTTGAGCTTAGAATTGTAAATCATAAAACAATTAAATTGGGCACTTCATTCAAAATAGCAAAATCACAACCATTAAATCAGGGGTTATTAATTGCTCCAATTTCACAATATTTAGGGGCCCAAAAAGCTTGTGAAGATTTGGCAAAATTCATTTATAAAGTTATTAATGTTAAGATCACGCAATATGTTAATGCTGCTGATGAAGTGAATTGCAACTTTTGAAAAGCTAACAAAGCAACCATCCTGACAATAGAAAGTACCCTTACTACAATCCAAGTCAAATTATGGCATTGAATAAAGATGTATCGTACTACTAATCGACGGCGTGTGTCCGCAATCACATAACTCGTTTGCAGTGTCTGAAAATCTCCCCCTCTAGATTATTTATTTAAAGGAGAACAAATTGACATCATTCTTTGAAGTTTCTGAACAATTTTCTTTTTTCGAAAATTTTCGCACAGCGTAGAAAAATGACGGCAGTTTCAAAGAATTGCCGTTGAGTAGTTTTCTGTTTAAGAAATAAAGTATGACAGGAAGTCTGCGACATCCTAAACCGAGTTATGTGATTGCTGACGTACACCGTCGTAATGTGTTTACTTAATCAATAGAACACAATTGCTAGACCTACGACCTATCAGAATCTGATCATCAATACTTGGTTAGGCAACTATTCTACCACCCAAGAAATGTTTGACTTAAGAGAACAGCAATCTTGCTTCTGCAAAGAAAGAATGTCTTTTTCTAAGCAATTGGTGTGTCTGCAGTAAAATTTTAAAAATAGTTTGTCAAATGATAGGTTAGTCATGAACACGACTAGGCGTAGATTAGGACTTGGATCGCCTATCGATTAAATGCCCCAATACTAAGACAGAACCTTCCGATAAGGGTCTAATATTACTTCTGTTGTGCTCAAAATGGAGAGTGAATAATCATAATGGTTCTGAAGCATACATAGCACGGCTAGTCTCTCTCGGAGTGTCAGAAGCCATCGTTGCTTTCTGTTCACCTTTCTATCAAACATGGAGGTAGGAACGTTTTCCTGATGGGATTAAATGAGTGATGGTTCTGATTTAACTTCTGTTGTACTTAAAAAATCGCACTAATACAGTAGCTTCGATACTCTCTTCCAGAGCATCGGACCCTGATGTCGCTTCCCCTTCTACTGAGCCCGGAAGTCGGGACCCCTAACTGGTAAGTAGCAATGAGTAAAGTTAGGCAAACTACTTAGGCAGAAAAGATCTTGAAAAAGGATAAAATAAAATAAAGGGACTCTTACCGGATCCATTGGGACCAATGACGGCGGTAAAATTCTTCAGAGGTCCCACAGTGAGCTTGCCTCTGTAGGACTTGAAGTTGTCCAATTCTATCAAATGGAGAGAAGGAGCCATTGTAGACGTCTAAATCAGGAACTAGCGAAAGTAAATGCACTAACACACTGGGGAAGAACTAAAGAATATAAACTAAAAGCATTTTCAATTTCGGCTCCATAGCAGATTGATAACAGATCACCCTGTTTACAAATAACAGGCGCGCAACGAACGTCTGTCATGGCAGAATGGCGGATACACCCCCCTCCTCCCATCGGCCATCAAACGTACGTACCACAGAAAAGTAGTTCTTTGATATTGCATTTTCGCTTGCTAATAATCTAAACGGTAGTGTCATGGCCACAGATCTACGTTTCAGACTGAATTTAAAATTTATTGAAAGAATAGATGAGAATCGATCTGATATAATTTTGATTGTTCCCTTGAAATAAAATCTGAAATTGGCGGGCTCTTTCCGGCGCCAGATGTGGCGGATGACGACTGCTGAGTGAACTATTTTTTATTTTTGTGCTTACTACTCAGCACTCAGGCATAATAATTGGTATTCGTACTTTCTGAAGGCGTTTTTTACCGTGTCGACAGGGAAACTGAGTCTTTGGGAGAATTGAGAAAACTTCAGAGATACCTCAGCTTGTGAGCGAGAAAATTTTTTGTGCAGGAAAAAAAACCGAAACAAACGCACGTTTTGCATGAATATTTTTTGAGTGCCTACCTACAAATATTAAATATGATCTGTGAGAATTTCATAAGAAATTATTAATTTTGATTAAAAAAAAAAAAAAAAAAAAAAAAAAAAAAAAAAAAGGTGCAGTCAGAGCGGGGATTCTGACATACTGCCATTGAAATCTGAATTTTTCTGGTTTCATTCAATCTTGCATGTTGCTTTTACAGCGCCCTTTGACAAGTCTTTTGGTCAAAACTTCTTATTTAATGACACACAGCAAAATTCACGGAAAGATTTAGTTGTAGCAAGATGTAATCAATTTTACAATACTACCTATCTGATTTTGTTTTGACACGTACCATAGATTCAGTTAATTCTAGGAGGAATATTTTATTTCAGCTTTTAACTTATACATTACAGGTAAGAACAAAAAAACCAAAAAAGATGGAAAAGAGGATATGGTGATTACTACTGACAGCGTAAATCACTTCAAAACTAGGTAGGTACTTAATTCATTTGAAGAATAAGGACTGAACTGATACTCTACTGTGACTAATCTTTGATTTAAATTGAGCTGTAGGTGTAAAAACTGTTTATGCTAAGTATTAAAACCAGTAAACATTCGGAATTATATTGCGCGGCAAGAATTATCATCTTACACAAAAAAGTAATTTTTCGGTACCGAAAAAATAATGGTCAATTTGTTTTCAAACTGCACTATAGCAAATATACTTCAACACTTAAAAAAGGGCAAAAAAAAAAATCAATTTTTTCCAAGGCTTTCTAACTCTCTATACCTAATTGAGAGATTTGTCCACGCCCTAATGAAGTTCTCATTGAGAAACTGATTTGAACCTAAAAATCAGTTGCTAAACTAGAAAAAATCTTTTACCTAAATCTTTTACCTATTGCTCACTTTCAAAAACTATTTATGTAATCCAATCAATTATTTAAAAAAAAAAAAAAAAAAAAAAAAAAAAAAAAAAAAAAAAAATGTACAGAGGTAGAGATCTTAAAACTAACAAAAATAAGAAAAAATTGGATTTAAAGTAGAATATGTAAATCGGAGATGGATTTCTGGAGAAGGTCGGCAGGAATTTCTAGGAGAGATCGGGTCCGTAATGATAGAGTGCGTCAGATAATGGAAGTCGAAAATGACATCGTGTTCGACGTCATGACCAAACAACTTGTTTGGTATGGTCATGTCAATAGGATGACGGAAGAGAGGCTGCCAAAAAAGATGCTTGATTGGGTTCCTCCTGGGAGGAGGCGTAGGGGACGCCCAGTGAGAGGTTGGCGACAGGGGGTGTTAAATGAGATAAGAGATTGTCAACTCCCTGATGACCTGTGGGAAGACCGAGCTTTGTGGCGTTTAGGTGTCGCAAAGCGCCAAAGAGCGCTATAACAGCGACTCGTATGTATATGTAAATTTGGTCCCATAATACATGAAAAACACAATTTGATCAAAAATAAAACTTGAATTGAACAATTTTTATGAGGGATAATGCACGTAAAAAAAATGTAAAACAATTTTATTGACACATTCAAGAGAAACAAGAAGGAATAGTAATGTTACGTAAGAGTAATTAATAAAAAACGAAGATACACTATATTGGTTAGATGAGTCACGCAGTAAGCTAAAGAACATTTGATTACAATTGAAAAGATGATGATGATGCAGTAAAAGAGAATTTAAAGAGGAATTTTTCCTTTAACAGGGTGCAACATGGCAGGATTTTAAATTGCTTTGTTTTTTGCTGTTTGTTACATAAATTTTGATTCGCAAAATTGTCAGCTAATTGATGAATCTATTGAATATTTGCAATTTTTGAATTTTCATCCATTTTCAGAAAGACTCAGGGATAAAGTTGACTGACAGTAAATGGCATACTTAGTACTGCTTGATCTGTTTTCGACATTGTTAAAAAAACTCAAGATATTATTGGTTTTAATTCTACATGCCGACAGAAATGTTGGTAATTCAAACAGTCTACAATCAATAATGGAGAAAAGATAGTTTTTTTTTAAAGGCAAATAATGAAAAAAGTATAGCTTGAATTAAGTTTAGTAATTGATCCAAGCACTATAATAAAGCAAAAATTATAGGTAAATACTTTACTGTTAATACCTACTCTTTTTGAGCAGAAATACTTTGACAAAAAACAACTGAGATACTTAGAATTTAAAGAAGAGACTCATTTCAGAGGAATGCAAATAATAAACACAGACTTAATATATGAAGGTCCGTAAAATATTGAGAAGACAACACATTTTATTCTTTTTTATTGAAAAGAATAGTAAAATGCTTAAAATACTTCAGTGACCTTTTTTTTTCCTTTAGAAAAAAGCAAACCAAAAATAGAATAAATGAGGCTGTAAATTTTGGTTTTTGAAACTATATTATACTCCTTGCTCGAAAGTCTATGGGAACCCAAAGTACTAGATAGGTAAGAAGTTCGAACTACACTATTGCAAATTGAGCCATCCCTACAAATGAGTCTAGTTGCGCACCAAGTATGCATTTAATGTTACCTACATGAAGTAAGTAAAATGACACAGCATATAAAGTAAAACCTAACTACTTTTTGACATGAGGTTGTTTACACCCCTTGGATACATAGGCTCGAGTAGAGTCTTTATTACAAGAATATTAAAAGAATAGGTTCACTTGATTACACCCCTTGGATACATAGGCTCGAGTAGAGTCTTTATTACAAGAATATTAAAAGAATAGGTTCACTTGATAAAACAAGACAAGTGTGCCAGGGTACCTACATGCAATCCAGCAATTTATTCAGCTGCAAGGATTTTTTTCTACCCTCCATGTATCACTCTTCTGAATGCTAATTCAAGAGGGCTGATTTCAGATTGCACGTCTTGATGATTTCTTTTGGGGCAGTGATGATTCTTCTTGAGAAATTTTAGGCACATATAATGATGTTACTTAATGCTGAAAGTCAAAAAACATTATGCGAATACTTACCTAACTGGAATTTTTACAGAATATTTTGTGTCATGAAATCACACCATAATTGGAGGAAGAAAGGTGTTGACACAAAAAAAAACTGATAAAAAAGAACAGTTAAAAAGCTGTGTTCAGAAAATGATTGAGAGTCAATATTAACAGAATAGTTGAAAAAATAGTGATAAAAAGATTGCCTTGTTTGATAATTAAGTAGGTATGTCCAGATAAGATGTCCTTGTTCACTTGATAATAATACCTACATTAATTGTGGAGAGCGGTGCTGTTGTTTTCAAATGAACTACTTTAATGGTAAAGTAAAACTGGAGAGGTAACTCAGGCAAATCTGTAAAAAAAAAGCATAAAACTTAGGATAAATATAAAATAAATATATGCACTATGTTCACATCAGTTTTTGAATGCCAAAATAATTTGAAAATTACAAATTATAGTTTCCTCACTTCTGTACTTATGTCACTGCACTTGTTTGAACTCTGGGAAGTTAAGCATTGTTGGGTTACTAAAAAGAACCTGTTGAATAACTTGAAAATTGATAACTCCAAAAGACATTAAATTCTGGTAAACTATCTCTTACATGCTGAAATTGAGTAAAAAATTAAAGGGACATACTTTGATTATGAACAGTTTGATCAAAGCAAGCAGCAGAAAGTTAAGTTCCTCCATGAAGGAGTTAAAAAGGAGAATAAAATATTTTAATAAAGCCATAAATAAGTCGGGTGTACGGGCTTTTATTACCTCCGGATAGGTAAGTGAAAATAAGACACTGGTGCCTTACGTTTTTGTGTATAAAAAGGAGATGGGAGTTCACATGTGAGCCATTTCAAGCATGATCTAGAAAATTATGAGAGAACATCAAGGAAGCATTTAACTTACAAGCTAATCATAATCATCGTACAGGCTCATTTCTTGTAACTCAGCATCTGCATCCTCCAACATTTCTTGAAAACTTCTACCATTATACATTTCATCATATTCAGCTTCGGCTTTTGCATCTTCCAACATTTCTTGCATACTTTTACCACTATAATCATCATATTCAGCTTCGGCTTCTGCATCTTCAAACATTTCTTGCATACTTTTACCATTATACATTTCATCATATTCAGCTTCGGCTTCTGCATCTTCCAACATTTCTTGCATACTTTTACCATTATACATTTCATCATATTCAGCTTCGGCTTCTGCATCTTCCAACATTTCTTGCAGACTTTTACCATTATACATTTCATCATATTCAGCTTCGGCTTCTGCATCTTCCAACATTTCTTGCATACTTTTACCATTATACATTTCATCATATTCAGCTTCGGCTTGACCAGAATAAGTTCTATGATGAGTGGTAAAAGTTTGACCGGCAGGACGTGGGTGCTGAGTGGGAAAAGTTTTGGAGCCCACAGCTTTTCTTTGCTCCTTATTTCCAAAATTTGGAGGAACAGCAGCGGAGGTACGATTCTGAGTGGCAAAAGTTTGATGAGCAGAAGTTGAGCCCTGAGAAGAAAGGGGTTTTGAGCTTGCAGCCCCTTTACACTTCTTTTTTCCAAAGCTTGAAGAGGCAGATGTTTGGCACTGATCAGCAGAAGTTCGATTTTCAGCAGTTGACGTAGTTTGACTAGCAGAAATCTGGAAACGCTTACCAACTGTAGCTTGGCCCTGACTAGCTGAATTTTGCTTTGAATCAGCAGACACCTTCGGCAGACCAGCTGAGGCTCTGCCCTGATTGACAGGAGTCCGGAATTGACTTGCAGAGGTTTCAGGTTGCGAAGGCAAAGTTGCAGAGTTCACTGCTGATTCTGGTTTTTTTGTTCTTGGAACAGAGCTTTGGGCCTTTGATGGCTGCAGTAATGTACGAACCCTTGGAGGAATAATAATGTATGGGTTTGGTCCAAACTTTCTTTCATGCCACAAATCCATTGCTAGCCTACCTACGTATCTAGGATTGCCCCCGTTCTCTAAATAATTATGGATTTGTGGACGAATAGCAGCACTGTCTTCCATCATTTCTTTGATAAATCTTAGGGTTTCACTGTCATTACCTGCCATTCTAAAGGTATGGTACTCAAATGTTGTTGTATGTGAGAAAAACTCCACAGAAGAACTTAATTCAGACACTGTACTTGAACACAAATTGATAATTTGAGGAACAGAAACTAAATGACACAACAGTAACAGCTCCTGTAAATATTTGCTTACACAGCATCGACAAATCGACAGAGTGTGATAAAATTGTTCGAGGCAGACCGCAGACTCACTGGACACTCACGTCTCACGTGACACGTGATTTCTAAACAAAAACAAACCACCTTGCCAGATGCCAGGTATCACGGGCATCATACTCACACAAATGTAGCTCTTCTGTGTATGGCATGTTAGCTTACTTAGAACCTTACCACACGTATCATGCCCCAAAATTTGCATTTCAATATAAATTTAAAATTAATGGAGAGAACAAAAATGAAAACCGATATCGTCTCCTTTTGATTATTCGCCTGTGATGAAATCATTTGGCGGGTTCCGGCGCCAAATGTCGCGGATGACGACAATGCGTGGAACTATTTTTGTTTGTTTTCTTTATCACATCTTTCGAGCATAGTTATTGGTATCCATTCGTTTTGAAGGCATTTCTTACGAGGTGGAATGGCATCGCACATAATGCGCATATCGACGGTGAAACTACCAAACCACGTATCTCGTTTGCGGTGTTTAAAAATCTACGCTCGCATTTTATTTTTTTGAAGTAGACCAAATCAATATCATTCATTGAAATTTTCACAGAATTTTCTCCGCACAAAGAGGAAAAATCACAGAAATTTTCAAGACTGGACGTTAAGTAGTTTTTCATTTAAAAAATAAAGTATGACAGGAAGTCTGCGACGTCGCAAACCGAGAAACGTGGTTTGGTAGTTTCACCGTCGATATACAAGAGAAAGAAAAAAAGAGAGGGTGATGTCAAGTTTAGTATTTGTATCCACTGACGTCACCAGGTGAACACGAAAACTACCCGAGGTGTCGTGCCCTCGCCCAATAGTATATTTGGTTTTCCGGAAAATTATATTTTAAGCAGATAATACCAACGATCGAAAAATTCACTAATTCCGAGATATTTTCGAGCGAAGCTATGAATAGACGAATCGTGTTAAAATGACGCACACGATGACTGAAAAACCCCCAATCACACGAACATAATTTCCTCTAGGCTTCTCAGTTAACAGAGAAATACATCACGAACAAAATAAGCTATACCTATCGACGGTGGAACTATACCAAACCACGTCTATCTACGCTCACATTTTATTTTTTTGAAGTAGACCAAGTCAATATCATTCCTTGAAATTTTCACGGAATTTTCCCCGCACAAAGAGGAAAAATCACAGAAATTTTCAAGACTGGATGTTAAGTAGTTTTTCATTTAAAAAATAAAGTAGGTATGACAGGAAGTCTGCGACGTCGCAAACCGAGATACGTGGTTTGGTAGTTTCACTGTCGATATTCGATATAAACTGACTTATAGGCTTTTCCAATGCAATTCAGATCGGTCAACTATTTAGACGCTCCTGCTGCACAGATTTGTATCGCGCAATCGGCAAACTGAAATGCTATCCGTTAATCAAAATCAGCTTTTGAATAATGCACTGATGAGCTTAAACCGCAATGGAAAAATATCCGAAAGTGATCCAGGTGCAACATGCAACTATTTTAACTCCGGGTTGCATACGGTCGAGAAAAACACTGGATAGTCGCACCAGTACCCTACCTTGAGAGCCGTACCTATATCGCGAGCGCGCGCAGGTTGTAGGCAGATCTCAGATCTCGCCTGCAAAATCTAGCGTATGCAACCCGGCCTACCGCGGAGTTAAAATAGTTGCATGCTGCGCTCGAACCCAACTTCAAATATTCTCCTGTTGTTTTTGGAAGTGTTTTGAGTTAAAAGAGCGTTCCATCATCTACAACACTACAAAAAAGGCTCAGATGTTTTGGAAATGCTAGCTATAAACACTTTATTAGTTTATTCTTATGAACCGAAAACTAATAGAGGAGAACGTGACATGAAGCAAATCGACGGCGTAAGTCTGCAAACACTCATCTCGTTTGCGGTATCTGAAAATCTCCGCCTCTACATATGTTATTTTTTTAAAGGAGAACAAATTGACATCATTCCTTGAAATTTACGCAGAATTTTCTTCGCGAAGAGAAGAAAAATCACGGCAGTTTTAAAGAATTGCCGTTGAGTAGTTTTCCGTTTGAAACAGAAAGTATGACAGGAAGTCTGCGACGTCGCATAAACCGAGTTATGTGATTGCCGACTTATACACCGTCGAAATGCAAACTTGCAATTCGAATGTGCGGATTTTAAATAAAATCTATGAGGCAGATGGTGGATTAAGATTTACTGCGGTACTGAACACATACCGTATTTTAGATGAAGTCCATTCTGCGTTAAGGATGAGAGTTTTAAATACAGAGGCAGAAAAGGAAAACGTATTTGAAGTAAAATTTAAAAATCTAGGTAATGGTGGTAATTTTAATTTATCACAGTTCCTACTTACGGAGAATAAAATGCCGTGAATATTGACCTGGAAAATTTTGCAGCTTCTTACAATTTACGTTTCCTTCACTTGAGAGGGTAGGCAATATGCGCTCCCAAGAGTTTGAATAGTGGTATCAGAATCTTCGGTCTTGTTTAAACGTGTTACCAGGGCTTTTACCCTTCTTCCTTCCTCTCCTTTTTAAAAACCTAAAGGGAACAAAGAAAAACGTTGCAGCCGAAAAAAAAATTTGAAAAATTTATTTTGAGCTGATAGTGGGGATAAAATTTGGGCCATGCCTTTATGATAAGTCTGGTCCTGATATCCCTCTAGACAGTTCTCATAATTTATAAGATTAAATAATCCTAATTAAAATTGCACCTTCAGACGCTATACATACATAGATTCATTAGAACCTCTGTATTTTTCCCTTTAAACCGAACGTGCCACTCGAATTGTTTTCATCGACTTCAAAAGCTAGGTTCTGGGACAATTCGGAAACAAAAACGTTTCTTTCCGGTTAGCGAGCTGATAAATGGAATAATTCTCAACAGGTACAATTTTATTGGATCTGAAAAAATAACGAAATTGTCAATAAGATTAGATTTGTATTAGCAACATCACGGCTGGAAAGGTGCGCCAATATTGTGGTGCAGGGCGATGTGCAAAACACACAAGGATGACCTTAGTATAAAACGTCTCTGATTGTGACAATGCAAATCTTCGCTCATTTTTTATTTTTATAAAGAAGAAAATTAATACAAATCATTTCGGAATTATTTTCTCCTTCCTCAAATATTCACAAGACATTTTGAGGAGATATTTGACTAGTTTTTTTTTTTTTTTTTTTTTTTTTTTTTTTTTTTTTTTTTTTTTTTTTNTTTTTTTTTTTTTTTTTTTTTTTTTTTTTTTTTTTTAAATAAATTAGACAAAGTTATATGATTGCTAACGTTGCGATGACGGTAGTATTTTTCGATTTTAGCCATTGACAATCGGGCACACGTGAAAGTCTTACAAAATGAACTCACGTTCCTACATTTTTGATGCAGAGATTGCTAGTAGCATTTTGAAAATATGTAAAGGATATCACCTAATGGATTAAAGAGTCCATTTCAGGAATATCATGAGTTGTTCCTGAGTTTGGATTTTTTTGCTCATACCATTTTTCCGCGAAACACCTGGGTGTAACGAAAGGGGTACCTATACAATACGTTTGCCTATAGCACAGTACACTTGAATAAAAGTCAACAAAACCTGTTGAATAAACAATATGCCATAGATAACGCGCATAGTGCGGTAAACAGTACTTGCAGTATATTTTTGAAGCGCGCTTTGAGCATCTGAGATAGTCGCTCCATTGTTATTAAGTTGTGGACGAAGCCTGCCTAAAAATGCTTAAACTTGGAGCTCTTATACTTTTAATCGTAAGTAACATTGTTACGAAGTGTCTGTTAAATCCTTACAATTTTTAAAATTTTTCTGTGAATTTTGTTTTAATCCCTTTTCAGTCGTGCATCATAATAAAACTTAAATTTACGGGTGGCAGCAGATTTTAAATACTGTTTGTAGGATGAACTAAGAGATCGCAAAAAAAAAAAAAAAAAAAAANAAAAAAAAAAAAAAAAAAAAAAAAAAAAAAAAAAAAAAAAAAAAAAAAAAGCAAACCAGTGGGTAACCACGGCTGACTTGGGATCATGGCGTCAAATTTCAATGGAATAAATCAATATGATCACTGTATAGCTTTATATGAAAAGCATACAAGTATGCAAAAAATTAATAGAATATTTTAAATTAAAAATGTTTTGATCGGAATCAGTACTTTGAGTTGAGGGTTTTTTTTCTACTTTGTCGAATGCCATTAAATTGAAATAAGCAGGAATTTGTACTGAGCAGGTAGCTGCATAAAGAATGCAACTGCGATGAACTCAATACATACATACACACATTTTGCCGTAGGAAAAAAAGGATAGAAAATGCTATGACTATGCTGTGCTCGAACTCTGGAGTAGGTATGTGATGTGGTATCACGCGAAATTGAAGGAAAATGTTAGCTTTCCACCTGTCTCAAATTATTGACGTTCATGATCATAAGTATAAGCATTCTGCTTGCATCGTGAAATGCGGAATCCGAGACCATTGACGAGTGCAATGGCGAGTGCAATGGCGAATGCAATGGCGAGTGCAATGGCGAGTGCAATGGCGAGTGCAATGGCGAGTGCAATGGCGAGTGCAATAGCACGGCAGCTGAATTTCCTGCAGGGGACCCTATGTCATTTTATTTTAGGAATTGTCATTTCCTCCTCTACCCCCTATTTTCTTTCCCCTCACCCCGATGACGGCGTCTACCACCCCGGTGTCGTTCGGATGTTTCTGGCTATTTCGAGCTTATAACGTCTTCGGGAAACTCGTTAATAACATAATCGGCATACCTTCTGACAACGTCATCAGTGCATTTGTCGATGACGTCATTGACACACCTGTTGACGACGTTATCAACACAACCGTTGAAAACTTCATGAGCACTGAAAAAAGATGACTCGAATTTGCTGTCAAGAGGATTTCCTCTTAAACTAAGAATAAAATTGCTTGAATAATGCGCGATTCTGCGTGATACAAGCTCAAGCACCTTTGATTTCGATGTGAGAACATTTTCTCCTTGATTCAAGAGGATGTTTCTTGGTGGCAAATTCAAGAATATTTTTGCTCATATTAAGTCACTCTTTTACCATAGCAAGACACCCGGCGATGACATGCCCAAGGGATCCCATTGATGACGACACCCGTCGATGACGGCATCTGTACACACGCATTGATGACGTCATCGGTGCACCCGTTGGTGACCTCATCGGTGCATTCGTTGATTGCGTTTCGAATTCTTCATTTTCCGGCGCATACACTGAAAAAAAAGAGCACGAGGTTGTTGGATGATATGGACATTTCCAATTAATTGTGGTAGACCATGCATTGATGACGTCACTGGTGCACCCGTTGATAACGTCACCGTTGCACCCGTTGATGACGTCATCATTGCACCCGTTGATGACGTCGTAGATGCACACGTTGATGACCTAATCGGTACACCCGTTGATTACACCATCATCAAAACAGCATTTGTTTCGGATTCTTCGTTTCCCGGTGCATGCACTGAAAAAAAAGAGCACGAGGTTGTTGGATGATATGGACATTTCCAATTAATTGTGGTAGGACCCCAATCAAACATGGTAGCATCCTAATGAGTTAGACTACCCTAACTTGAGTTGAAGTACTATCACAATTAAATGGAAATGTCCATATCATCCAACAAATATGTCATAGGGAATAACCCCTTACACTTTTTTCCCCGTGTAACTCCGCTTTCACAAATGGAGATGTTGCATGTGTGAGGAATTTGCGATTTGACTGCTGTTTCTTTTGTAACAGTTCGCAAGAAATACGATGGTGCCACTGGTTTTCTCTCTGAAATCATCTCCCAAGCTCAAAAAAAGCTCTCAAAGTGAGATCAAAATGGAGGGGATATCCCGCCCTACCCTGAGAGTCCACCTCTACATCAAAACAAACTCTCCATGCAGAGATAGGGAGCAAATACATTAGCAGGGTTGCCGTGTTTTCAGTTTTGGAGTCCCCAAATGAAGTGGCAGCCCTGTCAATGTATTTGCTCCCTATCTTTGCATGGAGAGTTTGTTTCGATGTAGAGGTGGACTCGGGTAGGGCGGGATATCCCCTCCATTTTTGCCTCACTTTGAGAGCTTTTTTTGCGCTTGGGAGTTAATTTCAGGGAAAACCAGTGGCACCATCATGTTTCTCGCGAACTTTTACATAATGCCGCAATCAGACGCTGAATTTAGCACCTGAATTGGGAAGTCAACAGTCATCGCCCAACGGCTGAAATTTAGCAAATTCGAGTTATTTTCATCCAGATGTGTATCAAATCTACTCGAATAGTTCAGACAAATTAAAAATTGGTCCGATGGTTGCTGAGAATCGTTGCTGAATTTTGCGCGTCACTCGCAAAATTCAGGCATCGGGCCGATGACTTCCACATTCAAGCCACATTCAGCGTGTGATTGCGGTGTAAGAAACAACAGTCAAATCGCAAATCGACGGTGCAAGTCGGCAATCACATAACTCGGTTTGCGACGTCGCAGACTTCCTGTCATACTTTATTTTTTAAACGGAAAACTACTCAACGGTAATTCTTTAAAACTGCCGTGATTTTTCTTCTATGTGCGAGGAAAATTCTTCAAAAACTTCAAGGAATCTTGTCCATTTGTTCTTCTTTAAAAAAATAACATAGTTGCGGAGATTTTCAGACACCGCAAACGAGTTATGTGATTGCCGACTTGCACCGTCGATATGTCTTAGGGGATAACTCCTTACACTTTTTCCCCCGTGTAACTTCGCTTTCACAAATGCTTTGCATGAATTTTCAAGGGGATCGCGGTCTGCGATGGAAACCTGGGGAGTGGTCGATTGGTGGCACCGCATCCGCCAACAGCAACGGGGCCGACTCCGGAAGTCCCGCCGCCGCCCCCCGCGGGAGGGGCACGGCCGCCCCCGCAGGAGCCGCCCCGGGCGACGCCGCAAGTGACCGAGGAGCTGCGTCAGAACCTCATCCTCAAATACGTCGGGTCCCTGTACAACCGGCTGTCCCAGTACCTCCCTCAGATGGCGTTCCAAAAAGACGGAGAGATAATTGATTACATGGTCGTCAGCGTCCTCAGCCTTCGCGAGGAGCTCAGGTCAATGAAACAGAGCATGGAGGCCGTGCGCAGATCCGTCGGCGGACCCCCCGCCTCCGCCTCCTTCTTCAATAATTTCAGATTTTTCAAAAAGTAAGCCTCGCCTAGTTATGGATTAACTCCACCTGCCGTACTGTCCCGTCTTCGTGATGGACACCTTTGGGCTGGCTATAAAATCAATAACTGATATCGGTGCTGACGGTGAAACTTACAAGTAGCTCGGCTGCGGAGTCTCAAGATTTCATGTATTTATATTTTATTTCTCTCTAATTTAACCTCTAATTTGATGTATTACAATAAAAAGAACCACAAAGCTCCATGCAATGTACTGCTTTTTTTTTTCTTTTATATTTCTGCCTATTTTTTAAACGATTATTTCATTCAAGAACTACACAGTACATATATTAACTAATTTCAATTATTTACAATACTTGGCAATTGCCTCAAAGAGTAACTTACTTTCGGTGTGACTGTTTATTTTGAAATCATGAGAGAGATTAAAGGACGTATAAAAATGATAATTCACTACTATGATGGCCCTCCCCTCATACTGATATAATGAAACCACCAAGTCACGTGTCTTAATTTGGGACAATACAAATTTTCTGTGATATTTTACTAGTGCAAAGAGAGCCGTGGCATCGCTTTTGCCAAAACATTGATCTGATTTTTCTTTGTTCATTAAAAAATTTTCTCTGGAAATTTGTGGGAAAAAATGTGGAGACGTTTTTGAGCGAATATTTCCACACTGCCGTGCTAAGGAAGAATGCCGTAGGAGCCTCCAGACGTTGCCAAATTTCATTTGATAAAAAGCGAATTTATTGGGAAAATTATGAATATTTTTTTCCCAAATTTTCAGACAATTTTATACACAATTTAATCTAAACCATCTGAGAGGAATACGGAAAAATATGCATAAATTTCGTCAAAAATGCATGTGTTCTCAAGGGAAATTTGGCAACTCTCGAATACTCATACGGCGTTCTTCCTCAGCACGGCAGCATAGGTACACCACAATTTAGATCCGTCATCGTTTGGTAGTTTCAACATTGATTTGCCATCGGGTAAAAAGAGAAGTAAGGAATTTTTGCAATATGGAGAAAATTCATACTTTAACGTCATCCGACCGTGCTGGCAATGCAAATTCAGCGCAAGCCGTGTCTTCTTGAATAAATACAGGTGTTTACTTTAGTGACGTCATTCTCATTACTCACTTATAATAACATTTGCGCAGTGAGGTCAAAAATCAGAAGCGTGATTTATCGACGAATTTTGATTTCCTCCCACTGTCTCCGCCACTGTCTCTTTTTTATATTGTATATGTATGTACAAGTGCGAAGTGCCTAGCGAGTTTAGTGAACTATTAACATACTAAGATTTTAAATAATGGGTGTTAGTGAATTGGTCGAAAGTTTAAAGCCGCGATTGTATGCTTTCAGCCTCTACTGAATGAGTGAAAGACCAGCTGAATTTAACGTCTGTATATTTTGAGTAAAATAATTTTAGTTTTAGATGAAGGGATGAGAGGCGGAGGGGCTTAGTCGTATTGCAACATTGAGCATTTTCGTTTGATTTCTCTTGGGAAGTTTTATTAATTCTGTGATTTGACAAAAATGTCAAAACATTTTAAATGTAAATCATATGCACGCTAATTGATAAAGAAGTAAGTTGTGTATTACAAATCTTTGTAGGTAATGTTGCAATGCAGTTAAACTCTCATTCTATCTCTCGCCCCCTCAATATTATTAAGCTATCGGTTTCGAAACTAGGTTTTATTTATTGAGCAATTTTTTTTTTTTTTTTAAATACCCCAATTTGCTTTTTTTAGACTCGAGTGTATAATTTGTGGCCTCATTTGCATGACTCCACACACATCATTATTTATGATGCAATTTTTCTTTTCTTTTTTTTTTCTTTTTTTTTACCCAAATTGCTTTCTTTATACTAGAGTGAATAATTTGTGGCCTCTTTTGCAAGACTCCAACACATTTGAGGACTTATCTGTAACAATAGCGAATGTGAAAAATTACCTTTTCGACACACATTTAAAAAACTGTTTTGGCATCGAAAAAATTTTGAGAAAATTTTGAGAAAATACTTGAGATGCGATCTTCGAGATCTGTACATTATGCCAGAGCCAAACATATTAAATTTTTGTTTGAACAAAACAGTTTTTTAAGCGTATCCGCTTTTGTTACAGATAAGTCCTCATATAGTTAGCCAACAGACAGTCTAGTCAACACCACCATCATTTTTCCCATGAAGATCACACGTACTTCCTCAGTTCAACAGCAATGGTGGTGGTTATTTTTGTGTAATCTTTCGAATCCTCCACACATCCAGATAAAGCTGAGGAGGATGCCTCAAAGTGGAGCCAGTGGTGGAGCAGCTGCCCCAACCCACAAGGGCAGAGCTTGCAATTGGTAGTCGAACAAGCTCCTCCTTTGGGCGGTCCCACTCTCTCGCTTCGTCGCGTCTCGTTTCTCTCCGAACGGATGAGAGGCCGGGGGAAAAGTGGATATTCAGGGAGCAGTTTGCTTGCCACATCCCTTTATAATATACGAAAAAATGTTGCTTTTAAAACGTTTTACTATAAGCCTCGATGGCATGAATTAATTTTGGATCTCGAATGGACCACTAGACAAGGTACGAATTTCAGCATTATGATACATGTTTCTTCACCAAAATTTCACGTAAAGCACGATGCGCACAACGAAAATTACCGAAATTACCTCCTTCCGAAGATATTTAATGATTCATGGTGCATGAATTGAAACCATCCGCTCATGAAAACTCAATGCTCTACGTGGTTCACATCGCGTGCTAAACGCTATCATGAACGTCTCTGCGATAAAAAAATCTGGCAACCTTAGTCTTGACGCTTTGGCTCAGCTATAGCAAATTACTTATAGTTTGAAAAACACATGGTGGGACATGAACATTGCTCAATTAAGAAGCTTGCTGAAACCGTTGTAGTGCGCGATTTGACTCGCGTAGAGCTTTGAGTTTCTTGTGAGCGGGCGCAGTGCGAATTCCTGGTAACCAATGTGAAAGAAAAATGCTAATATCTCCGTTAGGAGTTAGTTTCAGTTATTTTCGTTGCGCGAATCGTGTTTTACGTGAAATTCTGGTTAAGAAACATGTATCAGAATGCTTAAATTCGTACCTTGTCTAGTGGTCCATTCTGGGCAATGGAACTAGTCTATGTTGTAGCTTGCATAAAAATCACAGGGTATGGCCATTGGCGGATCCAGAAAGTTGGCAACATTTCTTTTCTCCAGTTAAACCTATGGATATGTATCGATTCTCAGGGGGGCTAGGTGCTCCGACAAGAATCGATTATTTAACATAGGTTTAAATTGAGGGAATCCGGTGTTGCCAAATTGCTGGATCCGCCTCTGGGTATGGCCGAATATTTTTCAAAGTTTTAAATTTTTGGGAATCAGTTAATCAAAAAAAGAAAAAATAAAAATTGCAAAATCATGCCACGGTGGAAAGATTCAATTTTTAAAAACCCAAAAAAACGTTGTTACGAATTCGTGACGCTATGCCATAGATGGTAAGTTTTTAAAAAAAAAATTGTTTTAGAAAAAGAAGTGTTTAACAGATAATAGAAAAAGAAAACAACTAGGGACTTCTTCTAGCTCTGGAAAAGCTTCTTAAAATGCAATATCTTTAATTTAATACTGGCTCTCAAAATGAATATCTATTTTAGAACTAATTGTAATCCATACTAAAAAAAATTTAAATGTAAAAAAAATCCGATGATTATTTTAAAAATGTCTCTTAAAAAAGGTTTTAAATTGTACTCTCTCGTTTCTCGCAAAGAATCGTTTGCAAAACCCTCTAAAAATGACTTTACCACATTTCAAAACCGAAAATATGTTTCTATAAATTATCTCCTCACGCGTTTTAAAGTTGTTTCCAAAATTGATAGTTTTTTCTCGGTTAAAAAGAAAGAAAAGAAATATCCTAGAAACATTTTCCTTGTTCTCAAAGGTATTTTTAAAACATATTTTAGTGTCAATATGCTATTGGGTCGATACCGTTTGTTCGTATCGTGTATTTTAAAAGAATAATATTGCCTTCCTTTTGTTCCTGTTTCATGAGGTGTCACTATCATCATGTAGACATCTTTGGTTCGTCTTCCTGCGTGCGCACCACACCACGCACCGTGTTATTTTTGACACTCACAGTCTTGCACAGGACATCTCCACCATACGCTGGAGGGAATGGGGGGATACCTATTTCAGGAGTGAATACATTTGGCCAATAACAAGAAGCGAAGACTCACTGAATGAAATCTTTTCGTTCCCTTCAAAGCTCTATTTCCTTGGTTAAAAAACAATTGAAAGATGTTTTAGATATCAACAAAATTCAATGAAATATTTCATACGATGCATGTGACGGACACGAGTGGGTGAAACTTGGGGGGACCGGGGGGGGCACCGTATTGAAACTTTTGAAATAGACGTCACAAACAAGTTTTCACTCAACTTTAAGATTAATTTGCCGCATTAATAATATAGTTTGGATCGATGCCGATGAATTTATAGAGGCCGACATATTAATACGCTCCTTGTAACTTCATTGGCAAGAAAATCCTTAAAATTACCTGGAGTTCAGAGATTTCTCAAAAGGAAGTACACCATAGGAAACATTATTTTCACATAAAAACTCTCAGGGAAGTTTAGTGTCACGGTGGTTTCAAGGTGGGTCATAAAATTTCGGCCACAATAAAATATGGTTAGTTTGCTGTAAATGAGCTATATTATTTTGGAATTTTAAAGCAAAGAGGTCTTTCGATACATTTAAATCTTGATTGGGATGCTGAAATCATCCACAGTATTTTTAAAGAAGAAGAAAACTGAAGAAATTCACCAATGGGGAGGGATAGAAAGCTAGATTAAAGAGAAAATGCTGAAGTTTAAAACAGAGATTACAAGCGTTAGGTGAAGAAAAAACTGTAGAGGGCCAGGGGTCTTTTTACCCTTAAGGCCTACTGGTATTGAAATACCATACAGAATTACAACTCGTCACACGAAATCACAATTCATCAACTTCAGGTTCGCCTTTAATTTCATCGCATATGCAAAAATGAACAAATACGCCGGGGAGCGCAACTAATTATCTGTTCGAGAAAAAAGAACAGAAAAAAAGAAAAAAAATACACATACACCTTGGTTCATGAACATCGATGACGCCAATGAACAATGCATAAACCTATTGGTAGATATTTCTCCCGAATCTGAGCGACACTCATTGGTAGCATATAGCAGAGCATTGAGAGCTCACGCTTCGCCATCGCGCCTTCAATTTTTCAGATGC